TCTCTCAAATCAGTAAAAGCATGCCCTCAGTTGAGGATTAAAAAAAGAAAGAAAAGAACCCCGCACGGCTCTGGCAAGTGGGAACCCCAGGGTCACGTCACTTCCCTGGATGGCAGGTCACCGTGAAATGCTACGAAGTCCCGGTGAGCTCCTGCTGCCCCACAGGCTGCAAGCCTGAGGCTGCTCTGTCTGCTGAGAAGGCAAAAAAATCAGCAAAAGCATGTCCTCAGTTGAGGATTAAAAAAAGAAAGAAAAGAACCCCGCACGGCTCTGGCAAGTGGGAACCCCAGGGTCACGTCACTTCCCTGGATGGCAGGTCACCGTGAAATGCTACGAAGTCCCGGTGAGCTCCTGCTGCCCCACAGGCTGCAAGCCTGAGGCTGCTCTGTCTGCTGAGAAGGCAAAAGCAGCACCGGTTTGGGGGAGAAGGTGTATAAGCTTCCGCACGAAACCCAGACTTTGCAGCAGGAGCAATCCGAGGAGGAAGGAGAAGAAGCGCAGGCCCGGCTCCCAGGCCCTCTCAGTGCTGGGCATCAGGGGCCTCTGCGCCCTCTTAACAGGGTCTGCCCGCCTGGCGTGGCGGCAGGGAGGACTGTCCTGCATGCCTCAGTGCACTCCTGGCCCACCCTCTGGGCGTCTGTGGCACCCACGTCCCACACCACCTCCGGACACTGCTGAGTGTCTGGGAAAAAGACCATCCCAGGGCGAGAAGCACTGATTCAGGTTATAAAGTGAATGGGCTGGGGGACCTGCCTGGCTAGGTCAGGACACAGCACCGAGGAGGCGGGGCCTGCGAGACAGCAAAGCATATCAAGTGTGCCTGGGGCCGAGGCGCGCTGTGCGTGTGCGTGTGCGTGTGCGTGTGCGCGTGTGTGTGCGTGTGCGTGTGCGAGGTAGCAGGACCAGCCAGGGGTCCCTTTATTTTAAGTTTTTCTTACATGATATTTAATTACCAAACTTTTCTAGTTTTGCGTTATTTCTCGTTGGCACAAAACATAATCCCAGTCCTGTAAACACAGGCACGCCTTTCCCTGAGCCCTGGATGTCCAGCCCTCCTTTCCCTCGAGGTGAGGGGTCCCCAGGACCCCCTACGCTGGTGTTTCTCAACCAGGCACTCTTCCTGTGCCGACCAGGGACCGAACCCGCAACCTTGGAGTGTCAGGACGACACTCTAACACTAAGACCTGGGCCAGGGCTCCTGGCCCTCTTGGCATGTGGGCGGGATAATCCTTGTTGAGGGCGAGGTCTGGTCCAGGGCAGGATGTAACAGGACTCTGCCCACTAGTGCCAGTACCACCCACACCCCAGCTGTGACCATCAAAGTGGCCACAGACATGGCCCAGTGTCTCCTGGGGACCAAACTGCCAACTGGCAGGAAGCACCAGGGACTCAGGAAGCTGCAGGATAGAGAGGCCCATAACCCAGACCTGGGTTTAGAACAAACCTGGGGCAGCGAGGGGGACGCCTCCTGGGACCTGCCTGGTCCCCTCTTCTGGGAGAAGAGCCCTCGCTCCGGCCCTGACCACTGGCCTGGAGGGGACACGGGGGTCAACCAGGCTCCCTCAGTCAGGATGTGGAATGAGAACCTCAGACAGAGGCCAGTCTGTGCCGGGCACTGAGGGGAGAGGTCCAGGACATATGGGCTCAGGTGGCCATTGCTGCCTCCTGGACGCCCCAGAGCCCAGCAGCAAAGAAAGAGAAACAACATAAACGTGCAGAAAAGCACCGACAAGGAATCTGGGGCCAGAGAGCAGGGACTGAGGGGCCAGTCCTGTCACAAGCTCGCCAAGGAGAAGCCACTCTGGACAGCACGACAGGAGCAGACCCAGGAGCCACAGCATGATCCTGGGGGTCCCAGCGCCTGTGTCAGGCCCTCAGGGCCCGACGGGACGCCCTGCCTCTGGGCTCTGCACGACGCCCCCATTTCCTTCCACCACGTCCTAGGAGCCAGAGGAGACCATGGAGACCAGGCCGGCAGAGGCGAGTCTAGAACATGACCGAGGCCGGAAGGAGGAAAACGGCTCCTGAGGCCTCCGTGACCAGCCCGGCCCGGAGGCAGACGTGGATAAGGAAGCGGCGGGCCCCCCACCGAGGGGTCAGACTCACCCAGCGACGCCAGGAGCCTGCAGTTCTCCAGCATCACCTCCTGGTACAGGGTCCTCTGGGCCACGTCCAGCTGCCCCCACTCCTCCTGGGAGAAGGTCACGGCCACGTCCTCGAAGGTCACAGACACCTGGGAAGTAAACAGAGGTCGCAGCGACGGCCTTGGGGCTGCTGATGGGATCAGCGAGCGTCGTGGTCCAGGGGCAGACGTCAAGGCCCAGAGCACCACGCGGCTGCTGGGCCGAGCTCTGTGCTCGCTCACAGGGGACGGCAATGCTGTGGGTGTAACACAGTCGCATAGGAGAAGCCCCCAAGCAGGAGCCGATGTAAACTGACAGGAGACAATGGAACGTCACGTAGGGGGTGAGGGGGACAGCGAGGGCTCCAGGATGAGAGGGTCGAGGAAATGATAACGTCCGTGACGGTAGCCACCGGTGTCCCTGAGCCTCCCTGTTCGGGCAACTGCCTCCCCACGCTGGGGGCTCCACTTCCTGGTCAAAGGGACTAAAGCCCCCAGTTCCATCTCCGGTGGTTTGCTCCCAAACTCGTTTTTTTTCAGTTTTTAATATTTTTATTGATTTTTTTTTTCTTTTTAGAGAAAGGAAGAGGGAGAAACAGCCAAGTGAGAGCGGACCTTTGCTGCCTCCTGAACCCCGCCCCCCCCAGACAGGGATGGAGCCCACCACCCAGGAAGTGCCCTGACGGGGATGGAACTGCACCTTTCGTGCACTGGACTGGACAACCCCAGCCAACGGCCAGGGCTGCGCCCAAGCTCCTGAAACCCGGTGCCTGCCAGCGTGCTACCTGGGGGGCATCACTCATTTCTGAGCCGGTTCCTGGGTCAGTAAGTGCCCACTTCCCCTAACATTTGTGACGGAAGCTACGCTCGCTGTGCTTGGGGGTCTTATTAACTCTCCCACAGCCCGAGGTGAGCCCTCATGCCCTCCGTGCCAGTGGGTGACCCGGGCCTCAGGGAGTCCCCCCAGTTCACCCGAGGGACTCACATCTCACTAACCAGAGGCAAGACTTTATCACAGGTTCCTCCCACGGGGTCCAACAGAGTCACCCGACCCTCCTCCATTGTCAAAGCGAAGCCCGGCCAGTGTTGCTCAGTGGGTAGAGCGTACGCCTGCGGACTGAAGGGTCCTGGGTTCGATTCAGATCAAGGGTACAGGCCTGGGTTGCGGGCTCCATCCCCAGTAGGGGATGTGCAAGAGGCAGCCGATCCGTGATTCTCTCTCATCATTGATGTTACTGTCTCTCTCCCTCTCCTTCCTCTCTGAAATCAGTAATAAAAATAATTTTTTTAAAAAGTGGATACATGGGTAAGGAGGCCGTGAAGCTATTACACCCATTTATTCAAAATATATTTTTATTGCTTTCAGAGAAGGAAGAGAGAGAGATAGAAACATCAGCGATGAGAGAGAATCACTGATCAGCTGCCTCCTACACGACCCCCACTGGGGATGGAGCCCGCAACCCAGGCCTGTGCCCTCGGCCGGAATGAACCCCAGACCCTTCCGCCCGCAGGCCGACGCTCTACCCACTGGGCCACACCGGCCCGGGCCACCCCCACTTTTGCTATGGAACCCGCCTCTGTCGCCCCTAAAACGCCATCTGTGAGCACGGACAGCGGATCCCCCAGGAGAGACACCTGCGAGGGCAGCTCCCACCTGGTCATGTCCCGCCGGGGACCCGCACCCCACACCCCCTGGGGCTCCCCAATGTCTCCCGGGGAGACCCCACGGCAAAGCATCAGCCTCTTCTCCTTCCTGACCCCCGAGGCCGGGAGAGATTCCAGGGGCGCCAATCGCGAAGGACACACCGGGGTGCGTGGTGGCGGAGGGGGTGACCCTGCTCAGCAACCGTCACCCACGGTCACCCTCCGGGCCGCGTCTCAGCCTCCTGC